TAGTTAAACTTTGTTACACTAAAACAAAGGGCGATAGACCCTTAATTCTGATTTATACAGGCTGATAGACTACTTCAGTCATTTTGGCTGTAAAACTAAAAGTTTTACCATGTGCTGATCAGGCAGCAGTGCCCTGCGAGTGTCTTGTGTTACAATGATACACCGAATGTCCCCGCTCGTCTTTTTTCTGAAATGGTTTGAATTTTGTCTGTAGCATGAAGGGTAATAAGGTTAAAGAGAGCATGTAAAGAAAAGGTTAAGATGTGGGCTGCGATGTAAAATTAGTTTGACATCATTGACCTATTGGTCTTAGTGTTAGCCTAAAGTTTTGGCCTTCTTATATATAAATAATGATGCTTGTTTACTTCATTTTAACCCTTGTTATACTAATAGGCTGCTGTACAGCTGTAGTCTGTATATGATCTTCATCGATTCTGAAGAACAAGGCAGAAAGTGTTTTCTGTACCCAACATATATATTTTTTTCTGCATTTGCTCTCTTACCTTCTGTTAATTAGAAACACGTGAGCTGTGATTAATGTTTAATATTTAATTACCAGGAAGCGTTTCAGCTGAAATGTAGGAGTATTTGCAATGAAAATGTTTCACAGCAGCTAAATCCATTCATGTGTGGTTATTCTGGCCATATCCTGCATGTTGTCTGTTTTCTACTAAGATGGATTGTAGCTGACTTTGGTCTAGACACGCATTATCATAAATCTTGGCAGTCTGCGGGCCCACCCAGTCATTCTAACAGCAAACATGTTTACTTAGGGTGGTTAACGTATTGCAGGATGAATCAGTGCCAAGAAACCGGTCAAACGGAGACCCAGGAGGAGCTGACGGAACTGGTGTGTCAGGAGGCTGATCTCAAAGATGGACAGTAAGTCACAATGCAATTCACCACATCTGTTTGTGATACCTTTGCAAACAGGAAACCAGGTCAAAAGTTCAAAACCAGTGCAGAGGGATCAGAGAAGCAATGGTCATATACAACACAGCGAAAAATTAAAGAAAAACAAACACTGGGAGCAAACACCTGATCTGTCACCCAGGGAAGCATGGTATCTTATTCCAACGTTTCTTAACGAAATGGTGAATGTAATTGAAAGGATATATTTGAACCCAAGATGTTATATTTTCCTAAACCAAACCAAGTGGCCGAAGTAAATGAAATAGTTTAAAGGAGAAGAAAGCTCTTTGGCAGAAAGCCCTGAAGCCAGGCCTTTGCTGCTAATCTTAAAAGATGTGCAGACCGACCTTCAGGTGGCACAGTAATTGTGTGATCCACTACTTGGCAAATTAATTAGCGATATGTGATATTTACAAGCTGTTGGGAAAGAGCACAAAGACAGGGACGTTAGAAACAACATCAAAATAAAAGAGGAAAATGGTAAAAACCAAAAAAGGTTTTTATAATGATTTCTTCTTTTTCTCCTTTTGTGTTCATGCAGAATGAAAGAAGTAACTGTGGGGGATCAGAAGGTGCTGCTAGTCCGCAGCGAGGGTCAGTACAGCGCTGTTGGAGGCACGTGCTCTCATTACGGTGCACCTCTGATCAAGGGTAAGGACTTAAGTTACGTCTCGGCTATTTATCTTTCTCGCTTTCTTTCACTTTTTAAGTTGCATGCTCTGTGTCAATTCAGGGACACTGGTTGGTGACAGAGTGAGATGTCCTTTTCATGGTGCGTGCTTCAATGTCAGGAATGGAGATATTGAGGATTATCCAGGTCTGGACAGTCTGCCCTGCTACAAGGTGAAATGGCACTTATCACAAGTTCATCCAGGATTTTCTTTGTCATGATTCTGGTTTTCTGCTCAGTCACTTCCTGTATTGTGAAATATTTTCTGTTGGCTTTTTTTTTTTAGCCCTCTTTCTGCCACACCTGTATTCAAGTCGTCTCTGCAGTATATATACAAACGCCTCCTGCCTAACACTGCAATGTTGTCAGATGTTCTTGGTCAAAGGCTTTAGAGAAGTTTGCGAATGGTATTGTTTGTTTCATCCCACACTTTTGGTTTACACCTACCTCAATTCAACAGCTGGATTGTTGGATTTGACCTCTGATTCTGTGGCTTCCTGCATTTGGGTCATTTTCTCCATTGTTTATTACATTTTCTCACAAATTGATGGATTCATTTTGTAGCTCATCTGCCCAAAGAGTCGATCAGCTTATGCCATGGTGAGGTGTCCCTCATTCATCTGTCCCATCTCGCTTCACCAGAATCACTACACCTACAGTTTTGGTCAAAAATTGGATCACTGCGATCACCTAATGCGTCTTCACTCAGATTGTGCTCAAGTTCAAGGTCATACATGTTACTTTTACAGGAGGTAACGTGTGTATTGTGATCGCTCATGAGACGCTTTGACTTTGACCGGTACCGTTGAAGTTCTGGTTCCAGTTTAATGTAATTGTATAAAGAATAAAGATATATTAAAGGAGTTTAAATTAATTAAGGCTCAGATCATTTTAACAATATTTATATTTATATTTGTGCTTATGAAAAACATTTAGGAGATAGGCTGTGTTTTTTTGCATCTGAGCTTCTCAATCAGGGAACGTTTGATCAAAAAAAGGCAAAAATAATGTATGAAAAGGGCTTTTCTTTCTAAACCTAACCATGTCTGGTTCTGTTATCCTATCTCATTATGGTTCAGCAAACTTTCTGCCTATTAAAAATGTTTTCAGGGAAACTATTCTGTTCACCTACAGTCAGGCAACAATCATAAATGTGGTTTCATTTAACAGGTCAAAGTTGAAGACGGCAAGGTGTACGTTTCAATCAACAAAAAAGTAAGGCAAATCAGGTATAAGACGATTAAAATGAACCAAAGTGCACTTTTATGTTGTGTTACAATGCACTGTGTGTTTGTCTCAGTCTCTGACCGTAACCAAACGGGTGAAAGAGATGTGCAGTGTGGTGCCGGATGTCAAACATACTATTCTGCTCATAGGAGGAGGTGAGAACTTTGCAATGAATATGAGATGGAAATATTCATCAGTCCGTTTTAACCGACAGGCAGGTTTAAGGCATGGCAGCTTTTTGTACTATTTAAAGTATTCAGGCAAAAGTGAAGACAGAGACTAGGAGGTAAAAAAAAAAAAAAATCACAGTCCTGAACATTGAAACTGTAATTTCAGGCCCCGCCTCTCTGGTCTGCGCTGAGACGCTTCGGCAAAATTGCTACCAGGGTCGCATCATCATCATAACTAAAGACTCCGTGCCTCCGTTTGATAAACCCAAACTGAGCAAGGTAAACACCAGGATAAGGGGGTAGATGCTCCATGTGTTTGTATTTCTGCCTTTTGATTTGTGTTTTTCTCTCTGAGTGGTTTTAGTGAGTGGCATTCCTTCTTTCAGGCTCTGAATGTGGAGAGCAGCAGCATCCTTCTCCGGCCAGATGACTTTTATCAACGATACGGGATAGAGATGTGGACGAGGAAAGAGGTTAGAATGTATTTTTGATGCACTCTCGCCAAGTTTTGGAAATCAATCTTCTCTTGGGGAATAGTTAGATCTGCGGGCCTTAAGAGGGTCTGCTGTTTGGTAATCGGTGTAGTATTAATAGCAGTTTTATTTATTTAGTACATTTAATTATGCTCAGACTCAACATATTTAGCACAGAAGATAAAAACATAAATGCCTGTGTAGGTTTACAATGAAAACAGCAAAATAAAACTAGAATACAAGCGAACATGCACACCCACACACACTTAGTCCAGTTTCTTGGCCTGTGAGAGAAGAAAGGTTTTTAAGTGTGTTTCTGAATGTAGACACAGCTGGAACTGACCTCAGGTCAGTAACTGAAAGCACCCTCAGCACAGTTGGATCTAATTCTGGAGACGGTAAAATGGTAAATGGACAAGTTCTTGTATAGCACTTTTCGACTTGAGCAGTCGAAGCTCTTTATACAGCATGTCAACTTGGGGTTCAAGGATAATTCAAGGATACTGGCAGGCAAACTGGAGCAAACCACAAAACTTCCAATTAATAGATGACTTGCTCTACTTCCTGAGCTACTGCCACAGGTGCTGCAGTTTTATAAAAATATCTTCACCTGATAGCAAGACTGTCCTATGTTGGTAAAAATGTAATTAGGGTGCAGAGAAGCTGATGCCAGTCCCTGGGCAGATCACTGGTTCATTTCCGGGTCAACATGGAGAAAGGCAACAGCTCACGCTTACGTGATCTCATACTTATTTGTTTTTCCTGAACAAGTTTGCTCTTAAAGTTAACTCCATTCAGGCAGAGTGAATCCTAAGCATCTTCTGGTCAGCTCCGCTGAGAATCATTAAAGCGATGGTTGGGACTTCCAGTCGATCAGTCCATTAAAACCGATTATTATGGATTTCAAAATGTTATTTGGTTTTCAAATGTACCTGTTTACAGTGACATCAACTTTAAGAGCAGGAAATTAATTAGACATATAATACCTTTCTTTCTGCTTTTTTTCAAGTATTTATCAGGTAACCTATATTTGACAACGGCGTAATAAAACTAGAAGTTTTGGTGTGCCACCCGTATATTTTTTATCACCCCCATATGGCCACATCTATGAAAAAAATCTGTAATTGTGTTTTGAACTGGGAGCCAGTGAAGTGACTTGACTACAGGGGTATGTTTTTGTGTATGTGTAAGGTTTGTGTGTTGCTTTGCAGGTGGTGTCAGTAAATCCGGCCAAGAAGGAAGTGAAAATGAGTGATGGCACTCTGCAGCATTACGACCAGCTCCTCATCGCAACAGGCTGCAGGTGAGACCGTCTTTAATGAGCAAAAGCAAACGTACATTGTATGTGTCACAACATGTCACAAGTTGTGGTCCATTTTTAAAATTTTATTTTTTTTGTTCACAGGGCACGGCCGCTCACCTGTCCTGGTTCAGACCTGGAAGGAGTAAAGTTACTGCAGAGTTACGAAGACGCCAAAGACATTTACAGCTCCAGCCTTGGCCAGAAAGTAGTTGTTACCGGAGCGTCTTTCATAGGTTATTAAATAAGGTTTCTTTTTTTTATGTTAAAGAATGAGACACCTTTCATCTTTTTGCCCATCGGGGTTGACGTGACGCTCTTTGCTCTGACAGCTACGCCACACAAATGTGCACGTCGCTTATGTGTTTTTCATTTGCATATTAGGTATGGAGGTGGCGTCCTACTTTTCAGACAAAGCTGCCAGTGTGGCTATGGTTGGCACTACTCAATACCCGTTTGAATGCACTCTGGGGTCAGAGATCGGCCAGCTGAGTATGCAAGTGCGCGACTATGATGACAACAGTTTTCAGTGCTACTCTTTTGGATATTTTTTAAAATTAACATAATTAAAACACAGTTTTTCACTTTCAGATGTTGGAAGAAAAAAATGTGAAGTTCCACATGAACGATCGAGTCACCGAGATCAGAGGAGAGAATGGGAAGGTATCTCTGCCTGCCATTATTTTCATGACGGACGGTTTGGTTAATGATTGTAGAACAGGAATACATGTCACCCACAGCATTATTAACAAAGATCAAACATCAACCCTCATGGTATCGCTTGTAAAATAACCCATTATCTCTGAAGTCTAATATAGTCTGCTTAAACAAAGCCATAACTGAGGTTTTTTTGGGGGTTTTTTTTCCAGGTGAAGCAGGTGGTGTTGAAGAGTGGTGTAGTCCTGGAGGCTGATGTTGTGATTGCTGGCATTGGTAGTTATTTTTCTACTTCAGTGTTCAGAAGGTCTGCCTGAAATGCAAATCAAGTTTGGGAGTGTTTGAGTGTGGAGACGTTTGGATGTGTGGTGTTTGCTAACATTGCTTTATGAGTGATGATTGTTTTAAACAAAGTCAGACAGAAACTTCCTGTGTAGTTCCACCAATATCAGAGTCAAATATGTTTTTCAGGTGTAATCCCCAATTCAGACTTATTGGCAGGAAGCGAGGTGGAAGTGGATTCAAGGAAAGCTGTGATTGTTGACAAGGTAACGCAGCCTGTAGAGGGCACAGCCGAACTTATGCTGATATAACTAAAGCATAAAGCATGGCACCCAGAAGTGTCTACGTTTCTTTAACTGTTACCGTAAGCTTTGATGGTGAGCCAGCATCGTCAATATGAGTACACTTTTGCTTTTCCTACGTTAAAAATATTAAAATTTTCTTTCTTACATTATCTGCACATCTGATGACCACTAACCAAAATAAACCTGTCAAATCAACAGTCTGGTTCATTCTTACAAAGAATGAATGTAAGTTCATGATCATAGTAATATTTCCTCAGTTTAAATAAATAAATAAATAATTAAATAAAACAGCTTCACAGCATCTAACAGAGTCATAAACACTCTCAAGGAGGCGAAAGTGTTATTTTCAAAGTCTACAATCAAGAGACGACGTCATGAATGTAAATGGAGAGAGTTTACATCAAGGTGAAAACTACTGATTTCACTCAAGGACATGGAAGGTCAGATTAGACGTTGCCAGAAAACATCTAAAAGAGCTGGCACAGCTCTGGAAATAAATCTCTGGACAGGTGAAAACAAGATGAATGTGTACCAGAGTGATGGGAGGAGAAAAGTATAGAGAAAGACAGAAAAAGCTCAAGATCTGAAGCATATCACATCATCTGTCAAGCTTGGATGCCTATGTTATGTCATGAAAGTCCTCGCAATCAATCAGCTCTTGATTGTATGATTTACAATCCACTGTGGTGGCATACAGAGGCAAAAACTAAAAAGAATCATAGCCCTAACTGTGTGCCCTGATGACTGGAGGGAATAGCTGCACGTATGTATTTTACACATCTTATGTTGAGGTTCTTGCTGTAGCCTTTATTCATCTATTCTAACAGTTCATGAGGACCAACGTACCAGATATTTTTGCCGCTGGAGATGTTACCTCTTTCCCTCTGACCATTCGAGGTGACCAGAGGGTCAGCATTGGTCACTGGCAAATGTCACACGCTCACGGTGAGAGGCTGAAGGACTGTGTTTTTCATTCAGTCGAAAACTTATAATGGGTGATTTAATGCCGAGTTAAACCTTATCATTGTTTTTTGTACCAGGAAGAGTAGCGGCTCTGAACATGCTGAAGAAATCCACAAAAATCGAGTCTGTTCCTTTCTTCTGGACTGTTTTGCTTGGGAAGAGTATCCGATACACCGGTGGAGTGTTGACTTCTAAATGTCACCTTTAAAATGTAATTTTTTTTTAAGACGAGGCTGTGTTAAATCTTTGTTCCTCCTCACATTTCCTCTTTCTAGGCTATGGGGAAGGATACACAGAAATTATATTCAAAGGCAAAGTGGAAGAAAGGAAATTTCTGGCTTTCTACATAAAGTGAGTGCAGAGTTAGCCCCGAACAGCTGAACAGCTCGTCCTCTGTGTGTAAAATTTCTCACGTTACCCTTTTTTTTTTTTTTTTTTGACAGGGATGATGTGGTGGTGGCAGCGGCCAGCCTGATGTTCGATCCTGCCGTGGCTCGCATCGCAGAGCTGATGGCTAGAGGCCAAATCTTAACAAAAGCACAGGCTCAGTGAGTGCTCTCCTGCATTTATACAAGTTAGACCGTAAAATATACAAAAATGTTTAGTTCCTCAACTGTAATATTGGTTACATTTGTTGTTGGTTTCTTCCTGTTAAAAGGGAGTTTTTCCTTCCCACAGTTACCAAGTGCTTGCTTGTCGGGAGTTGTCTGACTGTTGGGTTTTCTCTGTATGATTGTAGGGTCTTACCAAAAAAAGCACCTTTAGGTGATATATATATATATTTATTTATGTATATATATTTATTTTTTGCTGTGATTTGGCACCATATAAATAAAATTGAATTGAATCATGCTGCTTTCCAGTTACCATCTGAAATTAAATGTTCGAACATCTAATCTTCCATCTAACTGATGGGAGTGACATTGACTTCTGTACGATCAGAAGCCATATGCGTTGCCCCCTGCTGGTCACTAGAAAAACTGCAGCTTGAAAGTTCACTTTTTAGCCTTGGAAGTGTTATTATTGGAGTGTTTATGCTAAAACAACCTGCAATCTAAAACATGAAAAATACTTAAAGTAAAATTTGATGACAACTATTATTTATAGCAGTTTTAACCACTACTGTATGCTACCAAAACCAACCTTAGTTCATGTTTTAAAAAATAATAAACCCAGCCACTAGCTTATAACGTGAAAGCTGCTCAGTGTTTAATCTTTGTTTTCTCCTCTTCTCTTCTGTTCAGAGCTGAAGACCTGAGCTGGCTGCAGATATAACCAGGATTTACGCCTCTCAGCGATGAGTGATGTCATCTCTTGCTTTGGTTTTCTCTCCTTCTGTCTGACATGACATCAATTAATCCACTTTCTGCCTCAGGCTGCCTGGAAACCAGCCAGCCTCTCTTATCTGCTCTTATTAAAGAGCCCTGTTACTATAGTAGCAGTCACAGCTTTATTGAATTCTCTCTTTGTGCACACTGATCTCTTTAATTCGTTTTTTTTTTTTCTGGTTGCTTTACTAAAGGTGTGATGTTTTAAGAAGGTACAGTCGGTAGTTAAGGTTAGCAATGCAACATTAAATTGTGACAAGAAAAATCCCCCACACATCTACTCCACCAGCAGCCTGAATCCCTGGGGCAAGACATGAGGGATCTGCGCTTTCATGTTGTTTATGCTAAATTAGATTCTGACCCATCTAAACCTCGCAACAGAAATCATCAGACCAGGCAACATTTTACATTCTCCTGTCCATTTTTGATGAGCTGTGTAAACTGAAGCTTCAGTTTCCTTTTTTCAGCTGACAGGAGTGCCACCCAGTGTGGTCCTCTGCTGCTGTACCTCATCTGCATCAGGGTTTGCGATACTGTGCTCCCAGAGATGCTTTTCTAGATATCTTGATTGTAACCAATGGTTATTTGTTACTGTTACCTTCAGCTTCAGATTGAAGCTGTCTGGTCATTCTCTTCCAACATGAACGAGGCATTTTTATGCTGAGAACTCACTGGATATGTTCTCTTTTTTAGACCGTTCTCTGTAAACCCTCGAGATTTCTATGTGGGAAAATCCCAGCAGATCAGCAGCTTCTGAAATACTCAGACCAGCCAGTTTGGCACCAACAATCTCATCACATTCAAAGTCACAGCAGCTTTCCTTCACATTCAGACACTCAGTTTGAACTTCAAGAGGCAACCAGCTGCTGTGATGTGATTGGATGATTCAATATTTGTACAGTTGAGCAGGTGTACCTAACAAAGTGGCCACTGAGTGCATTTAGATGTTTTTATGAGCTGAAAATGTTAAGACTTTATCAACTTTCTCAGTTACTTAAATGTCTTTTTCATTTCATACTATACACTCAAAACTTCTTAGACACACACGTCACTACACTTCACATGAGAATACATTTACAGCATTTACAAAACACTTTAAAATACTGCCCATGAAAGATAAATAAGATAAAAAGTTTGTTTTTGACCTCTTTTTTATTTGTACTGTAGTGCCTTAATACATTATACAACAGAGTTGTAGCTCATGTATTCCTTATGATATGAGAAAGTGTGCGGCATCTTTAAACATGGTTTAGTTCCTTAAAATAAAGAGATCTCCTTTATGGTGGTAAAAATGTTAAACATGTGCGACACTTTTCTGTTTCAACACCCCTGAATGTTTACATCATTTCGTATTTAACACTGTCAGCCTGTCTGCAGCTGCTTGTCATGCATCCACTTCAGTACCTGAATGTTGCTGTTTAAATCCCCTATAATGCAGTCGTTTTATTATGCTGTTGTAAAATTCCATATCAAATATTAAACACGGGTTATTATGTCATTAAGTCTTTTTATTTCCACTTCTGTAAATGTTGTTGTTCACATGGTAATTATGACATGTGCCTAAAGAAGCTAAAACTCTGAGTTGATAGTGTTACAGAGAAACATACTTGTGTTTTCTACAAAATACATTTTAATGTCTAAATATGAAATATGGAGACACGTCACTGGCCACGATCTGTGAGATTATCTACAAGATTCCCCATAAATTAGTAAAATTATGTCTTTATAAAGCCAACTTCAAAAATAACATTTCTGTTAAGCCTTCAGATCAGTCACTTGCGTCTTCATTTGCTTGTTTTAGAGCACTGCTTCACGGAGGATCCCAGTTTGTCAGCCAGCAGAAATGGGTTGAGGTGGCAATACTGAGAAGATAAAACTATGTTAATATCATAACTTAGGCACGCTGAAGCGTTAACTACCGATATCAAAACACCAATTAATGACCTGCACCCTTAATGATGAGTTTTGACATCTCAGTCAATATCACTAAAAATGTGATTTGACGACCGCTCAGTTCAGAAAAGAGCTTCAAGAGTTTTTCTTAGTTCGCTCTCAAGGGGTAAAAAGTTAACATTTAAAAGCATTTTCGCCACAGTGAACTTGTGGTGTTGGATACCTCTGCCGTTGTCTCCGACTTGGACTCCTGTTTATCCAACATCTGGATTTTAAAGTCGGAGGAGAAACGAGAACTCTGGAGGATTGCTGCCATCTCTCCGTTTACCTGCACTGATACATCTTTCTGTGTAAGAGAAAAGAGTTTCATTGGATATCTATGTCTTTCCTCTGAAACTAAAAACTATAACACTTCCAGACTAATTATCACCTGTGTTTTTAGAATAAAAGCAGGTTAATAATTGTCTTTGCGTACATGCTGATAAGAGAAAGGGTGCCTTTTATACCTTGAAGCAGTGGGAGGAATCAAAGTCCAGCTGATCTGGGAATTCTGCCAACGTCCCTTTATAGGTCACAGTAGCGTTTGACATCGCTGGACTTCTGGGCAGCTTAAAGAGCCTGTAAGTGCCTGAAGCATAACTGATGTCGCCTACAAAATGAAGAGCTTGCTCAGTTGTGAAATCAGAGTGAATGCTGTCTGAAAATGTGCCTCTTTGTTACCTGCTTTTGCTTTGAGCTCACTGTTGTAGACCACAATGTGGCTCGCTGAGACGAGGTGTGGAGAGCTGAAACCCACGCTGTGGGCCAATGAGATTAGATTGGGCCAAAACAGAGAGCCGCCCATCCCCTCACCTAAGTCAGAGGAGACGGGGATTGAAGAGTTATCGGTGACAGCAGAGATGGTTGGCTTTGAATTAACTGGATTTAGAAGTAGTGTTTGTTTTACCCCACAGGACTGCGTCTTGCTTCATGTGATCAGGGATGATCTTACTGGCAAACATGTCACTGAAGTAAAGCTCACCTCCCTCCTGTATGAAATAAGTGGGTGCACCTTATATTCCTATATTTATTTGTGTGTGTGTGTGAGACAGCATGTTAACATTTCTTTGTGTTAATAATGATTCGTCAGGGTAACCTTTAAGACGTTGTAGGCTTGCTGCAGCACTGCTCTTTTATCAGCACATAGACAAATCACACAGTTGGATCTGAAGAGATTACAAAGAGGGGAAAAAACTTTAACAACCAAATTAAAGCTCCTTTTTTTCACCTGACAGCCAACACAACTACATCATTTAAACCTACATCACTACATCCATGGAGTCACTCTGAATGCCGGCTTCGTTGAGGTTCTCCATGTAGCCCTGGACAAATGTGACGTTGGGCTCCTTATAGCCAAACTTATCTTGATGATACTGAACATACTGAAGAGCTGCTGTGATCTAAAAGAACATGAATTAACCACATCAGGAAGGGGCAGACATCAAAGTGCCATCTGTGCAGAAACCTGTAATTACCAGCTCCTGTGTCATGTCGATCCCAGTCACGTGTCCATTCGGCCCAACCAGTTTACTAAAAGCATAGCAGTCTCTGCCGGAGCCACTGCCGAGGTCCAGGACTCTGCAGCCCTCGAGCTTTGCTGGAAATGGAAGACCACAGCCGAAGAACCTGAAGAGAGCCAATAACACCAGTCATTACAGGAAAACCTGTTGTCTCTAATCAGGCTGTATAGAATGATCCCATAAGTGGGAATCTCAAAAATCTGATTGTCTGGGTCTATTCCATGTCAGCTGACCAAATGCTTCCAGCCTGAGCAAAAGTGAAAAGATCAGGATAAGTGGAAGAAAATCTATGGAAAGATGTAGTGTCTGGTAGTAAGATGTCCAAAGTTTGTGATTGTGATAATGTTTGGCCTTGCTTTTCCAAAATGAAGTTTGGAAAAATTCATATTTGTGTTTACAGGCACCATCAAAGGCCTCATTGAGTCTATCTTTTTTTTTTTGAAGTCACAGTAGCAGACACGTGGCTTCTGCTCCACAGAAAAACAGACAACACTGCTTAGAAATGTTTGAAGATGCTACTGAATATTACAAAGTGCATCATCATCCTGGAACTTTCTTTAGGTAACTCAAATATGGTCGGCTGGGATTTTTTTTTCCACTGCTGATATCAGGTAAGAATAAAAACACCTTTAATTGCTTATGATTCCAAAGCGAGATTTCACCTTTTGGTCACCTCAGGGTGAACCTCACTCAGAGCTTCGGTAACACTTCTGGGCGCTGGTCTGCAGGACGATCCGCAGGAGGCGGCACCTGTCTGCAGATCACCCGAGGACTCCAGTCGCTTGCCGTAGTATTTCTGCACAGCCACATTAACAGCTGTCCTCATGCACGTTTATTAAGACAACGTACTGCAAAGTTGACACCGCAAACCTTTCTTTTGCAGAATATATAAAATAACCTGCAAAGAAACTTATTAAAAACAAAAGAAATTCCACTGGTTATAAATTAATTAACTATTCTGCAATGCTCGAATAACTGTGGACAAAATAAAAAAAAATGTCCATAAACTGTGAATGAACAGAAAGCTGAGCAGTGTCTGGGCGACACTCAGGACTAGAGTACCTTCACATTTTCCCGCACGTCCTCACTGGTCGCCATTTCTTCCGAGAAGCTGTCCAAATTACAAAAACTAAGTTCAAATGGTGTAAAAATCAGTCAGTGTACTGGTGTGAAAGACGAGAGTGGGGTCACATCTGGCCGTTCTTCCGGTGTGGTCTTTTCACAATAAAGGCATCATTGTTTGTCTGTCGTGACGGGCTTTTTTTGGCGGGGGGTGGCGGCAAACCAATTTACATTTGTCTTGATGCATTCTCAATCATCCAGGAAAGTAAATCTCCAAAAGTTGATTCTGTTCAGGTGGAAGTAGCGTTTTGTGGGAGAAACGTTTCGTCACTCATCCAAGTGACTTCTTCAGTCTCCAGACTGTCCTCGGGTGAGACTGAAAAAGTCACTTGGATGAGTGACGAAACGTTTTTCCCACAAAACGCTACGTCCAGATGAAAAGAATCAACTTTTGGAGATTTACATTTGTGTTTGTTGTCCCTAGAGAGGAGTACAAAGGACGAAATGGAAATGACGAAAGAAAGAAATGACTTCAGGTCAGAAATAAAACAAGAAGCAAATCACTGTAATGAAATATTTTGAATGTGATTAAATAATACAACAAATCAGCAAATCATGCTTTTGTTTAAGCAACAAACTTTACAGGATCGCACTCCAACACTGCAGGGGGCAGTAGTGCGCCGGAAACAGGATCATACGGGTATTCGCAAAAATTGCGCTTGTTTAACTTCTACGCATATTTACTGACGTAAAGCAGGTTCTTTACCGGGGGAGAGAAATATCGGACGTAACCGCCATCTGTGAATACTACTGAAGCTCGTTCATCGTGGTCCGCCGTCGTGCGTCTTACGTTTATGCAGTTTTGTGTTAGCGCACATCAGCCCAACACTGAGGCGGAAAACACGGAGAATAAGAAAGAAATGTTGTGCTAGCTGACTGTGTGCGGGTTAAGGCTTTATCCAACGACAAGAAACACTGGGAGTGAAGTAAGCGAGGTGCGTGTTGTTGACTGCATTCTGTTATTGCTTAGTTTTACCTCTCACTCAATCGTTAGCCACCGTGCTAGCTTTAGCAGTTGGCTAAGTTGCCGCTTCCTCCACGCTTGGCCTAATAATTAACAGGTGCTGCGGCGTGAAGTACAATGTGTTACATGTAACATAATGTAGCATTTATGAATGATATCCCGAGTTTACGCTGTTTCTGAACGAGCTAACAACAGTTAAACGCGGGCAAAGTTCGCCTTGCTGTTGCAGTTTTGTGCCATCCGGGAGGCCATGTTAGGCTAACGTAGCTAGCTCATCAACTGTGAGCACGAAGATGTTGAAGCTACACAGATGAGTTAATGTGCAATAAATGCATTTTCTACCGAATTAAGAAGCTAGCTTTTATTTCTGAGAGGCGTTTATGTCCAAGGCCATTCTATTTTCTAGACTTTGCAAGGCATTAAGCACACGCCTTCACTTTGTGGCTTCTGTTATTTAATCTGTGGGCTGCAGGAGCCAGACAAGGAATTCATGTGCCAGTGTAATATGTTTTTGATCAGTCTTTTGTTTCAGTTAAATTAAATGTAAGTTGGCTTTTTTGACATGTAACGCCTCTCTCCTCAGGGTTTTGATTATATACAGTTATAATTTAAAAAAAAACCTCACTTATTTTAATACCTTGGTTTGTGTCTTTGTTTTGGATAGTGAGGCACCATGGCAGCTGCCTTTCCTTACAGAGGGGTCCCTGCAGCGATGCCACCCGGTGTGCCACCAGGGGTACCAACTGCTGTGCCGCCTGGTGTGCCCCCTCCTGCACCTGTCCCAGACTACATGTCTGAGGAGAAATTACAAGAGAAGGGTATGTTGTTTGTATCCATTAAAGCGGGACTTCCATGTTTTGAGCTTTTAGCGGAGAAGTTGTCACAAATGGACAAGATTAACTTTGCAATTATTAAATGTCTTTCAACTCTACAGCAAGAAAATGGCAGCAGTTACAGGCAAAGCGCTACTCAGAAAAGAGAAAGTTCGGCTTTGTGGATGCTCAGAAGGAAGATATGCCACCTGAACATGTCCGCAAGATCATCAGGGACCATGGAGACATGACCAATAGAAAGTTTCGCCATGACAAGAGGGTCTACCTTGGGTAAAGATGACTCCTTTATCCCTTTTTAAAAGTCTTAACAAAAGTCGATGTGTTTTCTTCTTGATAACATCTTCATATGCTCGTTCTGTGTCTGTTTGTTGAACAGTGCCCTCAAGTACATGCCCCATGCAGTGCTGAAGCTGTTGGAAAACATGCCGATGCCTTGGGAACAGATTCGAGATGTGCCCGTGCTTTATCACATCACTGGAGCCATTTCATTTGTCAATGAAATCCCTTGGGTCATTGAGCCAGTCTACATTTCACAGTGGGGGTAAGGGAGAGTTTCTACTGCTGAAAACTTTCAAGCCAACTGTGATCATTTCCATTCAATAAAATGTAAATTTGTCTCTTTCCCAATTTTAATCCCAGCACCATGTGGATCATGATGCGTCGTGAGAAAAGAGATCGTCGGCACTTCAAAAGAATGCGCTTTCCACCCTTTGATGATGAGGAGCCGCCACTGGACTACGCTGACAATATTCTTGATGTGGAACCCTTGGAGGCCATTCAGATGGAGCTTGATCCAGAGGAAGATGCTTCAGTTGTGGACTGGTTCTATGAACATCAGCCCCTCAAGGACACAGCCAAGTAAGCAGCCATGGCTCTCTTCACAGACAAAGCTTTACATATTTAAGCAACTGATATGTTGCTTAAAGCATTAATTGATGATTTATCTTTGTCTTGCTCAGGTTTGTGAATGGGACCACCTATCGTCGTTGGCAGTTCACACTGCCCATGATGTCCACACTGTACCGTCTGGCCAATCAGCTTCTGACAGATCTGGTTGATAGAAACTACTTTTACCTCTTTGACCTGAAGGCTTTCTTCACGTCCAAGGCTTTAAACATGGCCATCCCTGGAGGACCAAAGTTTGAGCCGTTGGTCAGAGACATCAACCTCCAGTATGTTCTTTTGCCCTTTTATAAAATGAATATTCCAAAGACTTATTGTTATTAATGTTAACAAAGTGCAGAATTTTAATTTTTTTTTGTTTGATATTGCTGTTTGATTCCAAACATAATGTGAAAATAGAAGCTGGCTGTTTTGTGTCCTAACTGGTTCCTCTGTGTCCTCTGTAGGGATGAAGACTGGAACGAGTTCAACGACATCAACAAAATCATCATCCGACAGCCCATCAGGACAGAGTACAAAATCGCCTTTCCCTACCTGTACAACAATTTGCCCCACCACGTCCACCTCACCTGGTGAGAACTGCTGTTTACTTGAAATACCGGCTGACTGAAAAATCCTTTTTCATTCAAGACAGGAGAGACATTCATCGCTTATAAACGTCATAGATTTGTTTTATTTTTCATAATGGCTATATAAAAGCAACACTTGTGACGTTTTGGTTTTGTTTTTTTTTTCCCAGGTACCACACACCAAATGTGGTTTTTATCAAAACAGAAGACCCCGATCTTCCTGCATTTTACTTTGACCCGCTGATCAACCCCATTTCACACAGACATTCTGTTAAGGTAAGTGTTGCACATTATCTACTTGTCTCCCTTTGGTGAATAACACCCCGCATCAAAGTCCTCTTACAAAGGCGCACTTGCATTGGACTGCTTGCCTGTGCGTAAGAACTGGAGGAATAGTAAAATGAATGGTGACTTGTTATTATTGGCTGCAGCTGCAGATCACCTTTCCCCATTCAGATAACTCTTCTAGTTATTTTATAGTCTGTTGAATTCCAGCCCTTCTGCCCTGAATCTGTTTGATTCATTGTTTTTCCCGTTTCCTCTCAGAGTCAGGAGCCTCTGCCAGATGATGATGAGGAGTTTGAGCTTGCTGAGTTTGTGGAACCCTTCCTCAAAGAAACCCCACTCTACACAGACAACACAGCCAATGGCATTGCTCTCCTGTGGGCGCCGAGACCCTTCAACCTCAGATCTGGCCGAACAAGACGTGCCATCGATATCCCCCTGATCAAGAACTGGTGAGCAAACTGTGAAGCTGTTAGGACAGGAGTAAATCTGAAGTACTTTACTGTTTGAAGAGATGTCGGCTGTGTGGAAGATTTTGTTTTGCATTAGAGTTAAAATTTAGAAATAAAAAGTCTGATAAGTATTAAACATTTGTTGCTAAAATATTTTATAGGTACCGCGAGCATTGCCCTGCTGGACAGCCAGTGAAAGTACGTGTGTCATACCAGAAACTGCTGAAGTACTACGTGCTCAATGCTCTCAAACACAGACCACCCAAGGCTCAGAAGAAAAGGTGATTATCCTTGGATTTATTTTGATATCCTGCTTTCATGCATTTTTAATTAAACCTTTATTTATTTTGCTCATTATCCAAGTTCATCTGTAAAAGTTATCCCTCTGTTGTCTTGTAGATACCTATTCCGCTCCTTTAAGGCCACAAAGTTCTTCCAGTCCACAAAGCTGGATTGGGTGGAGGTTGGCCTGCAGGTTTGCAGACAGGGCTACAACATGCTCAATCTGCTCATCCATCGTAAGAACCTCAACTACCTGCATCTGGACTACAACTTCAATCTGAAGCCTGTCAAGACACTGACCACAAAGGTACAGTCTGCAGAGCAGGATCTAACTTCACATTTTGTTTTTGTTAAGTGTCTGACTGTATTCTAGTATGAAGTGCACTTCTTTTGACCATTGCTGACCTATGACTGTTTTCTTTTGCCTCCTTCAGGAGCGAAAGAAGTCGCGATTCGGCAATGCCTTTCATCTGTGCAGAGAGGTTCTCCGTCTAAGCAAGCTGGTGGTTGACAGCCACGTGCAGTACAGACTGGGAAATGTTGATGCCTTCCAGGTTAGTTGTGAAGTGGAAATTGTGCAGGCGTTGCTTTCACAGGGTAGCGGTAAAAGCGCTCTTTAATGAAAAGCAGTATAAAATGCAAGGATGTATCTTTTGTATTGATAAAGGATTTTGGGAAATCTTTTTCACGTTCATAAGATTAAAACATGATTTTATTTGAATTTTTTTTTCAGTAGTTATTTTTATGTATTGATTTGCACACATGACCAACCTCAAAGGTGTGTTTCT